TATGCATAGGTACTCTTTTGTATGGTCTAGTGGTTCCCCTTTATATTAGCATTTCCAACCACTGTTCTAGTCCATTGAGAATGTTTTGTATTCAGACTCTACCATCTAGCATGCTAGTAATCCCTCCTGATTTTATGTCATCTGAAAATCTGATAAACATGTCAACCAGAGCTTCATCCAAGTTACTGATAACAATGTTGAACAGGCCAGAACTGCTCTTTAGCTCATCACCTTATTCTTCTTCAAATACTCTGTGTTCTAGCATCACTGACCTAACTGCATTTCTTTGAATATACCTCTCCATCTCTCATCTTCAAAAGGCAGCCAGGGGGTGCAGTGGATCTTGGCTTCTCTGTGTTCCTCCAAAACTCAGATCATACCCCACCTACTATAGGAGGTCTTTCCTGGTCCTCCCAGTGACTAATCTTAGAATGCCTTCTGTCTACTCTGTAACTAGCTTCTTGAGGGGCAGGGACTGTGTATTTGACTTTCTTTTTATCCCCAACACTTAGCAAAGTGTTCAGAAGCTTGTGAGCTCTGGATAAACATTTGTTGATTAACTTTATTTAAATTGACTCGACCTAACTCATCGAACCCTGCAACATCAGCAATATGGAGCACTAGTTTGACCTTACAAAGAAATTTACCTCAAATTATAACTTTAATACTCCACTAGATCATGGTTTTATCAATTCAGTCCAAGGAGACATATTGCAAGCCATCCATGCCTGCCCATTCCTTGCAAATTTTCCCCAGGTTCTATGCATCTTTCACAAAAGGCCCTCCTAACATGCTAGTGACCTTCCTTGAGTTCTCATGACATGGTGGGGATACCAATGGAATACAAACAAAAAATACCTGGCTTCTTAATTAGCATGTCAACGGGAGTGCCAATTAGACTATTAGCACTTTTTAGTCTGTGCCTTAGGTTTGGCTCATTGTCTAAGGATGCAAATCAATCAACAATCTTTCTTAAGTGCCTAGTATATATCAGGCCAAAAGAATTAGAAAACTAAATATGACTAGGTAATGTATTAAATAATTTTAGAATGAATAGTAAGTGTAATTCTACTTAGATTAGGCCTTGCTATTTCTCGAATACATACATGTATATATATATAATATAACAGTATTGTATATAATATTGTCTATTACATGCCATATATGTTACATATGGTATATATTGTGTATACTCTATCTAGCAAATAGAGTATATTATATACATCATAAATATTTAGTTATTTAATATGAAATACCTACTATTTACTTAATACTTTAAAGTTTACAAAGCATTTAATATAATTTCATTTGATCCTCACAACTCTGGGAGATAGGTATTATTGTTTTCTCCATTTTGCAGAAACAGAAAACAAGGCTCAGAAAGATAATAGGACTTTTCCAGGGCCCACACAGCTAGTAAGCATCTAAGGCAGGATTTGAATGTGAGTTTTGAGGACTCTAAGGACAACAAACACCCAATCTGCTATGCCATTAAACCCATTTAAAGCTAAGAGCATTGTAGATTACAAAAGTGGGCTGGAACTGACTTGAATCCTTAGGTTTCTAGCTGCTCTGAAGCAGGAGTTGGTTTCATGAACCCCTTTGGCAGTCTGATGAAGCTGAGGGATCCCTTCTCAGAATGTTGTGGGGGGTTTTTTAAATAATTGAAGGGAATACTAATATTTAGTTAGATATGAGAGAAAATTAAAATGCATTTTTTTTCTCATCCAAGTTTGTGGACCCCCTGAAATCTATCCTGGATCCTCCAAAGATCCCAGGTTAAGAACCCCAATTTTAAGTCTAGATTGATCCTTCCACAGTCAGAGTTAACCTCACCATTCTGCTCCTTTGTAATTCCCATCATAACAGCAGAAAAGGTCTGCATTGCTTTGGTTATGAAGGCAATACCTGATCACATAAAAAAAGACATAAGACCACCAGATGTCTGTGGGGGCAGGGAATAGAGTTCTATATTTAAAGGGGACTGTACTGCACGCCAAAAATCACATGTTTAGGAGGGGAAATATGCTTACTGAGATGAGAGGACATAAAAAAATTAGCATAGAGAGGACTCTAAATCAGAATAAAAAATAAATGCAATCCAGGTTCACTATTAACCCATCTTTTTTGTACAAGGTGACAATTCCAACTTGTTACCATACATTCCAGAAACAACAATCTCTGAACCGAGAGCCCTCAGCTTAATGGCAGCCTTTAAATAGCCATAAAGATAGATTTGTAACGAACCTAAAAGCATATTGCCGAAGTGAGCGACATGATGCATGAGATGTCAGCTGCTCTGGGGACGGGCTGTTTGGCATTCTTCATCTATTGTTGACTACTGAGGGGGTAGACAGTGCGATGTATACAAATAATAAATAATACAGTTGGAACACAGAGGACGTAATGGTGAGGTCATTATTTTCCCCGGCTCCAGATGAAGAAGGAGAAAACTCTTTGTTCCCACTGGTTCATTTGTAACTTTGCTTGTCATAACTACATGATGCAAGCCTGTGGGTGGTAACCTCACTAGGATAACATTTCTACAACCACAGTTTCCATAACAACTCAATGCAGCTTTTTGATGTGGGGAGACTTTCCAGAATTTCTTTCTTTCACCCTTCCCCCCTCAACATTATTTCTCCAGCACAGGCACGGTGGTGATTAGCTCTGATATGATATGAATGGCTTAGCATTTAAGGTGGAGGTCTGGTTCCATTCCAAAGTTACCTTTGTAATTCACAGATGCAATCATAGCTGGTACATATTTCTCAGCTCCTAAAAATAGGAAACATTTGGAATCCAAGGGGGGGATTTTTTAATATATAAATATACACATTTATATAGTTGTATGTGTGTATTTACTGTCATTGTTTTGGTATGATAGAAATATAATGAAATCTGTTGAACATGAAAGTCATGGGACTAAAACCTAACCTGGACAGAAGAGTTCTGGCTGTTTATGAGCTGCTCTGTACTGTGGGAGTCAATGGGAATACTTGAATTTGGAGTCAAAAGGCCTTGATTCAAATCTCAGTACTGTGACCCTAGGCAAGTCACTTCAAATCTTATCTATAAAATCAGAGGGTTGTACTATGATTTCTAAGGTCTCTTCCAGTTCTGAATCTATGATCCTATGATCTCATGAGCATGTTACAGTGAAAAGAACATAAGACTGCAAGCCCTGAGCTTTCATCCTAGTTCCATGATTAAGCAATCATGTGACCTTTAGGCAAATCATTGAGTCTTGAATTTCACCATCCTCATCTATAAAATGAGTGCATGAGACTCTAACACTGTATGAGTTTGTAAGTCTCTGGGAATTTCTGAACACCTCTCCTGACCTTACTACTCCCACAGAGGTTTGATATTACAGATCAGATATTTAACCCAATGTGGCCAATGTTGATATCAGCCTTTCAAAAACATTTTATATATTGGCAGTCAAAGAAATCAACTCTTTTCTTCTAAGTGCTATAGGAAAATTGCATTATCTATATGCTCACAGGTATTTTTATGGTTGAAAGACATTTCCTTCATTGTCCTATTTCTGAAAAGTTGGGCTTTCCTTTTATTCAGAAAGGATTAGGCCTAGTAATTCTAGGAAGAATAATTAGTTAAAATAGGAATCTACCCTAACCCTGATTCATCTGTTACTTCCCACAGCTACATTTCACCTGAGTTGCTCCTTGACCTGACCCTACTTTGGCCTACAAAGTCAGTGACCTCCTAGGCAGTTGCCTAGTGGTATCCCAGAATCTTATCCCACCCATGGAGAAAAAGAAAGAAGTATTTATTAAGATTTGTTACACGCTCCACACTGTGCTGAGTACTTGAAAATATCTCATTTGAGAGATAATAGACCTTAGGGACCTTGCATCCTAGGGTCTTTTTCCTCTCTCCTCACTAGATATTCCTTAAAAAGTTGATCGGAGGATACACATTGTGAAATTTTCCCCAGGGACAAAAATGGCTAGTCACCCAGTCAGTAAGAATGTGTTGTTGTTTGATTCTTTCAGTTGTATCTGACTCTTCATGACCCCATTTTGGGGTTTTCTTAGCAAAGATAGTGGATTGCCATTTATTTTTCCAGCTCACTTTTTTTTTAACTGGTGAGGAACTGAGACAAACAGGGTAAAGTGACTTGCCCAGGGTCACATAGCTAGTAAGTATCTGAGGCTGGATTTGAACTCATGAAGATGAGCCTTCCTGATTCAAGCCCGGTGCTCTATCTACTCACCATCTAGCTACCCATCAATAAGCATTTATTAAGTGCTTATTAATGTACCCAATACTGAGCTAAGAGCTAGAGAGACAAAAAGAGACAGGAGTAGTCTCTACCCTCAAAAAGCTTACATTCTGAGAGAGGAGGCAACATGTAAATAACTAGGTACATACAACATAGAGAAATAGCGTATGGCACCAAGGGAGAAAGGAAGGCATACAGCCTAAAACTCTGTCACACTAAATTGGAAACCAGATACTAACGAATGAAATTTTTGACAAGTCTGAAAGAAAACATTGCTTCTGAAGCCCTTTGCCAAGCTAGCCAAAGGTATTGTGTGCAAAAAAAAGAAAGATCAAGGAAGAAAAAAATCCCCAGGATCTACTATTCTATGGCATGTAATAGTAACTAAAGACATTTACATATAGCCAAAAAGTTTACAAATTGATGTTCATCTATCACTCATCTGAACCTCATGGCAACCCAAACACAATAGGCAACTTTACATTTTACTATCCCCGTTTTACAAAAGGGGAAACTGAGGCTCAGAAAGATTAAGAGATTTGTCCGTGGTCACACAGCTGGTGTCAGAGGTGGGCTTTGCACCAACTTGATCTGGTCCAACAGAAAATTGGCTATGCTACTCTGACTTTCAGTGTATGCACTCTCTGTTCTGTTCCTTCTACTGTCCCACCTAACTGGATCTTACCTGTCCTTTAAGACCCAGATCAAAACAATCAAAAAATACATGGGAAACATCTGGATCAATTCTTACCTCCTCAATGAAGTGTCATATGGTAGAAAGAGTCCTGATTATGGAGTCTGACAACATGGGTTTGAATCGGTTTTCTGATGAGGACTACTTGTGCGGTGTTATCTTTGTGACCATGGAAGTATCATTTCTTGCATCTGTAAAAAGGAGATATTTCAAAGCAATGACTTCTCACATCTCTTACATCTATAAATATATGACTTTGTGAATGTTTTTTCATCTATTGTTTTGTTTTTTAACCAATATCATCTGTAAAGTGGATTGATCAAATGACTTCTTATTCATTTGATGATTTCCCCAAACAACTCAATCACATTAAGAGTGTGCACCTTTTTCTGAGGATTTACGCTGTATGTTCTTGCTGAGAAGACACAGAGAACTGCTCTAATTTGTTCTCAGTGACTGGGGCTGCCTCCATGATGATTGATGACTGTGAGCTTAGGGGCAGCAGTGGGGAGAAGAGAGGGCATAACATTTGGACTAAACTCTTAAAAGAAAAGTTTCCCCATAGTTTATAAAAGCAAGCTGTGAAACAGCTTGGCCTTTTTTCCTCCCTTGGTCTTCTAGACAGAGGGCAGCAAAGGGGGAGGGAGGGGAGATTTGATCCCTTTCTCACCATCCTCCACCCAGGAATAATAATGGCATTTTGCTGGAACAGCACATGTCAAGACTGAGAAGGATGTCCCTGTTCAGCCTCTGTCTTTCTGTTTCCTTGTCGGTGTGTATGTCAAAAACTCAAAATACTGAGAGCACACTTTTCTTACCCTGTGGGTAATCTCAAGTTTGAGAGTTCCAAAAATATATTCAGGCCTCCCAGAAGAAGATTAACTTAGCACTCTGGTTCTTAGAACAGGAAGTTGGAGCAAAAGCTTGACCACTTTATACTGGTTTACAAAATAAAATTGGGTAGGAAAGGTAAAAATGAGTAACAACAGGAAATGGGCAACAGATTATACTGGGATAGAATTATATCTGTTCTCTTAAATATTGTTAGTCCAGAGGATGTGATTTTCAGGTACAGAACAAACTTCTGATTATGGTTTCTTAATGAGGAAAGGAGAACCCAAGCCTTGTATCTTAGACTTACCCCTTTCCCACTAAATACCAGTTATCTAACGAATACCTATAGCATATAGCAAAGAAACACATTTATTCAAGTCCATAGCAAAACAGAAGCCAGAGGAAGTATACCTAGGAAAATATATACTGGATGATACAGAGTGAAGGAGCTCTCCTATTGCAAGTAAGCTAATTCAACTTAACCAAGATAGAAGGTCCTGGGTCTCGCCCAAGGAGAAACTCCCCAAAGTCACTAGTGTAGCAAGCCATGGATAGGGAAATGATAGAGACTGCCACCTCCTCTCATGTCAGCTTCTTTCAGAATCTTATTCTTCCTTCAGCAACTTGACACAGAACTGACATCTTCCAACTTCTCTCTCAGAGCTGGAAGGCAAAAGTAACCAGAGTGATTGCAGTACCAAAGAGAAGCGCTTTTGAGAAGACTCAAAGAAAGTTCAAAGAGCTCAAAATTCACCTCTATATCACTCTTGTGATCTCTAACCTGCCCCTCATACAGAGGCGGGGAATTGCTTTTCACCAATGAAAAGAGGGGCTCTGGAACTTGGGTTACAGTGTCTTATGCATGTCCTGTGGTGAGTACAATAAAGATGGTGCATATTTTGTTAAAAGGAAAATTCTCCATTTGGGCTTTCACCCTGATTAACAAGGCAAAACTCAGGACAAAGAGAATTAAAAGGATTTTATCATAAGTACATCAAGGTAGCCACAAATTGACTGGCTGATCAGCAATAGCTTCAAGGTGGGGACAGCTTTTATAGGTAACTTTAATTCATCCAGACAGTAGGTGCACCTCAGCAAAAGAGATAGGGCCCTTGAATCTCAGTTCCTCCCCAAGGTAACAAGAACAAGACAATTTGCAGATAGGGATATGACAAAGAGCAGGTGACCCCAAAACTGCAGACTTGGTGTCTGCTTCCCCCACACTATTTGATAAGCAGGGCTGGGAACAACGGGCAACTGAGTCAACATCACTTTCAGCAATCTGATTTCTATATTGTATCTTGAGTGCCTGTGTGAGAGTTGGAGACCATGTTACCCACATTAGGGGAAACTGACACAAGTTACCTACTCTCTACCTCAAAGATTTTCCTGGAGAACTCTAGGTGGGGAAAAGAAAACAAAGAGAGAAAATGACTCTGGAGTCAAACACCAGTTTGTGTCTTGAGGCTTAGGGGACTCTAAGGAGAGACCTAGATGTATAGAACATGTTTTCAACAAGTCACACATAGAAGCAGTTGGAAAGCAGTTTTACATGTTGAATTTCTCACTGTTGCCTTAATCTTTTCTCATTTAAAAATAAACACATTTCTTGGCTCTGATCTACAATGGGCACAATTTCCACCCATGAAGAGAGAAAAGAGGACTTGGGCTCTTTAAGCATGCATATCATCGGTACCATATGAGTAAGTGCCAATCAAAAAGAAGAGTAACTGTCACCAACTAAGCAACTCATCCAAGTTTAGAGAGCTTAGCTGAACCTAACTGTATGTAGTTATAGTGTGTCTAAAGGTTCGCGTAGTGGCTAGAGCTCTGGATCTGCAGTTAGGAAGACCTAAATTCAAATCCTTCCTTCGATATTTACTAGCTGTGTGCCTGAGCAAGTCACAACCTCTGTGAGCTCCCTCATCTATAAAATGGTTAAAAATAGCACCTACTTCCCAGGGTAGTTGAGCTAAAGTGATAATATTTGTCAGGCAAACCTTAAATCTATATGTAATTGCCAGTTATTATCATTATTATTATTAATAACCATGACTCAGATTGAATTGACATAGTCTTCAAGTAGGTAGACGAGTGATGTAACCTCTACATTATAATTCAAGACTGATCTTTTATATTTTCTTTAGCTTCAAAAATACCAATCCATGGGATGCTTGGGAAAAGGGAAAGGAATAAACATTAATTACGCTCCAGGCACCATGCTAAGGACCTTGCAAAATATTATCTCACTTGATCCTCACAAAAAATTCTATTAGATAGGCGCTAGTATTACTTCTATTTATTACCCCCATTTTACAGATGAGGAAACTGAGGCAAACAGGGTTAAGTGACTTGCCCAGGATCACACAGCTAGTAAGTATCTGAGGCTGTATTTGAACTCAGGTTTTTCCTGACTTCAGGTCCCAGCACTCTATTGACTGAGCCATCTAGCTATCCTATCTTGGAATTTGAAGACCCAGATTCAAATCCTGACTTTTCCACTTATTTTTGCTTAACCTCTCTCAGCCTCAGTTTCCTTGTGTCAAGTGGTGAAAGTAACACCTACACAGCCTCCTTCATAGAATTGTTTTGATGAAAGTGGATAATTACTGTGGATAAAAGTAAATTCAGATAAATGTATGCTAATTATCATCATTATTTATTCACCTTTGTCATTTGGATTTGCATTGTACTTTTACTGCTGCTGTAATCCATATGAGCTAGGGAGTATTGGGAAAGGGTCCTTATCTCAACTCACACTCCCACTGGCAAATTTTATTAACAGATCAAGAGCAAAAAAGGAAGGGAATAAGCATTTATAGAGGGCCTGCTATGTGCCAGGCACTGTGCAAAGTATTTATTTTTTTCAAATATTATTTCATTTTATTTCATTCAACAGACTACATGTTTAGCTCGAGGTTCTAGGTGTAACCCTGAGTGATTGTGGGTAGCTTTCTAATTCCATCAGCTCAAGCACATGTTCTAGAGTTTCATCCCAATATGAATTACCTCTTAATCTTTCAACCATATTGTCGATACCACTCTCACTTAACCAATTAATATAAACCAACTTTCACAAAGAGCTTTTGATGAGAAGATACATATAGCAAGAACAGAAGTATGAACCTGAATATGGACCACACTGTCCTCTATATTACATCAATCCCTAAGCACAGCAGGCTCAAAGTTAAAGGAGCTGCTACAAAGCATTCATACCCCACTCCCCAAGCTAATTTTTACGTGTGTCATAGCCACTGGACAAATTGCTCTATTGCCAGAACAAGACACAGGGACTGGTGCCATCCATTCACTACTGCACTGGGCTTCACTCCTCAACACTCAGGTATCCATAAACTCATACATGGACTCCATTTCCTAGACTTCTGGCAGTTCGCTCTTCTGACCTTTGCAGCTCCCAGGGTTGCAACAATCTCTTAAGTATTGGTGCTCCTTACCTAAAAACAGGAAAGAATAGACACAAAAGATACAGAAGCATCAGTAGGGCTATGTGTTCATGACTACATGGGCCCAGGGCACCTCTTCCACCAGAGTCCCACAACAGATCCTCCTCCTCACTCACTCCTGGAGAAGGAAGGAAAGATTGTTTTGGCCATTTAGTACTCTTTTGAATACACATCTATTCCAATTCAATAGACAATCAAAAAGCATTTTCTTCACAACGAAGTGAGTGGACAAGAAATAATCAGAATATATATGTGTGCTCTGAAGTCCAAGGAGGACGGCATCAGGCACGCACACTGATAGGGATTGGAACATGTTGGCAAGTCTCCCATTACACTGATGTTTTTATAATCTTTTTCTTCTTCTTTTTCTTCTTTATCATCAGCAGCAGCACCTTCATCATCCTCATCTTCTTCATCATCATCATCTTCTTCATCATCATCATTGATCAATTAATCAACTCATCCCTATATTGTTTGATGAGAGTTTACCTACAATACCTACAAGGGAAAGAGCTAGCTCTAGAGGAAGTTAGTTGAGTTCATGTGAATACTACCCTTGGTGGTCCTTTGCTTTCACTCTTTGGATTTTAGTTGTTTCAGAGCCTGCATCCAAAGGTAAAACACTTTTGGTTATATTCAACAAATCTATTGATATGTACCTATTATCAATCCTTGATACTGTTCTGTAAGATGATAACTGTTTGTTAGGCAAATATTTTTAACCGGTTTATCATATGCTTCTATGAGGACATTACCAATCATCTCCCTCTTTTGTGACAAGGAAATATTCCATTTAATTCAACAAATATTTATTAAGAGCCTACTATGTGCCAGGCACTGTGCTAAGTGTGGGGGATACAAATGAGAAAAAGACAGTTCCTGATCTCAAAGACATTATGCTCTAATGGAGAAGACAACACTCTAAAGGAAACTGGAAAGTTGGGGGGGGGGTAATGGAGGATGAATCTTGTTCTATGGAATTAAAAACAAGCAGAGCTGCAGATGGAAAGTGCAAAATATTAATGTTTCTATCCTTGCCTTGTGTCAATGAGCCCTCCGTTTCATTAATATCTTACAGAATTTTGTTTGGATAATTTCTAAATCTATTGTCACCAATTCTGGTGTTCCAAAAGTAAGCATCACTATTCCAAAGATTGAGAATGAACAGAGGCAACACGACCTATACCAACACATACCTCTGGCACTTCTGTTAGTAAAATATATTTGAGTGAAAGGAAAATCTCAATGCTCTTGTGTTCATAGACCCTATTAAGGGATATGTTGTAAGAGAGTGTGGTATAATGGAAGGAGATTGATTTTGGACTCAGCTGGATTCAAATCCAGGATCTGATTACAGATTAGGGAACGGTTCAGCCTTGAGGCTTTCTGAGTATGCGTTTCTTCGTCTCTAAGGTAAGGGAATTGGGTGAGATAATCTTCTCTCTGCTCTAAGTCTATGAACCTATGACTCACAGTTCAACAAAGAAATGAAGTTTATTTTCCCCATTTAAGTTATTAATGTAGCTTCACAGAGCCAAATCCACAATGCCAAATTCAGCTTATGCTTTTCCATATCCTTCTTCCTATCCTCGTTACAACGGGAGGTCAGTCACAAGAAATAAGACTCTAATGACACCATATGATCCAAGTTCTGCAAGGAAATCCTCTTCTTTTTTAGAAATTTACTTCTCTAGGCTTGAACTTCCTCATCTGTAAAATGAAGAAATTGGATGAGACAATCTCTAAGGTACCTTTCAGTTCTAAATCTATGATACTAGGAATGAAAATTCACCTAAAAATGAAGTTTCCTTCCATAAAATTGGAAATGGTTGGAACTAAGTGACAGGCCATATAACTAGCAAAGTAACCAAGGCCCCACATCTAAAGGCAAAGCAGTCACCCCAAATCGACTTACTAGTAATTGACCTTCTGAAACTTCATTCACAACTGACAAAAAAGGATAAGGGAAGAGTCCCATCATTAGGCTGACTAAATGTTTTGGCTGCAGAGGCTGGAGAAAGCTAGAAACTGGACTGAGAATTCTTCTTCTAATTTGCTGTATACCACCTGCCTCGTCCCGATCCAAACCAATGACCTGGACACGATGGGCCATTACCAGGCCTCTGCTGGCTCTCTGAGATGACTAGTGAGCAGGCAAATTTGGGAAAGGCAAGGCTCGCAAATAGAATGTGAGTAGCT